GGCCTTGGAACGTCTAGGGTTTGGGGGATTTAGGGCTGTTTTGGGGTCTAGGGTTCTTGAGGCTTCTTTTTCAGGGTAGGCGGTAGATTTGGGGATTAGGGTTAGGGAGGACAAGCCTTTTGGTTTGGAGTTTGTTCAGGAATTTGAGCTTTGGGCTTGGGATATGGGGATGAATGCTGGAAGCATTTTCAAGGCCTTGGATCCACCACTATATGGGGGTTTCCCAAAATTGGGGGCATCAGTTTGGGGTCCCAATAATAAGGACTATAGTATTTTGGGGTCTATATAAGTGTCACCCTATTTACGACACTCCCATAATATCTTGGCAATCGTGGCCCCTTGTCTTGCCATTGGCCCTGAAGATCGGCAGGACGCACTGGATTAAAGAAAGGTTACAGGACAGCCCCAAAACTATCAGGGTTGTTCTGAACAGTTTGGGCCCTTTTTGGTTACAGGTCATATTACGGCGCCTAATACCTGGGGTGCCACAGTGGGACCTTATTCGTGGGAACTACCCATCATGCTTCCTCGCAGCGCAATGATTCAACTTCCATCCACCATTTTGCAACGGATGGCAAACGCACCCACCGGCATCCCCATTCAACGTGGAGCGTAGGAGAGCCAATCAGACTGTTGAGAGCTGTCACTAGAGTCACTAGAACCGACGAGGATTCCCCAAAATTGCACAAGCACAGGTGGGCGGCCACCGTAACTGCTCGTAGGCCCTTACTTTCATCCAGGCAACACATGAGCTGAAAAGCGGCCAATGTTGAGGCACTGGTAAAACATATCTATGCCAACAGTTGATTTCTGAGACAGACTAACACTCAGCGTGAACGTAAACCCTGCCCTACACTGTAAGCCTCAGCCCGAGACCGTAAGCCCCAAAAACCCTCCTCCCTGAACCCTAACAAAGTCCAGGTTGAACTGCCTCTTCCTCTTCTCGCCAGTGGCTACCTGCCAATGTCTGTCAAAGGCATATGTAAACCCTAAACCCTACACCCTGAACCCCAAACCCAGATCCTAGGACTTCGGGTTTATGGCTTCAGACTGAAGGCTTAAGGCGTTGGGCTCCGAGAGGTGGGGCTTAAGGTTTTGGCTTAGGAGAGGTGAGTGTTGCTGCAGGTTGGGGCTTATAGGGCTTAAGCTTAGTATTGAAGACCAGCATTTCAAGGTGAAGGTTGGGGTACAGGCTTATGGCTCATACCCTCACAGTTATCTTCTCTTGGCAGCTTGAGGTAGTGGACTTGGAGTTGTTCTGGATTCACGGGTTCACCTCCGAACCGGGCCTCTGGCAAAGGGTCAAGTAATTGGAGTTCAGGGTTCAGGGTTAGCTTAGGGCTGAGGCTATGATACAGTTGGTACAAAAAGCCCTGCATAACCTTTGTATAGGAAAATACGAGAATTTATAAGGTACTCAGGCCCATGCAGGATTTTTAGTATAGTATCCACCGTAGCCCATCAATGAAGTCCCTTCAAGGGCAGCTACCGGCAGGGGACTGACCCACACCATGCCACTATGCATTCAAGCCTCCTAGCTCCAATAAGGTCTCAAGATGAGTCGGTTCGAGCAACCCTTCGCTGCAAAAAAGTAGAAATTGAATCCTGGGATCCAACATCCGAATGCAGAAGGCTTCAAATTCGACACCCCGAACCACGAACCCTACGCGCTAAATATGAAATCACACACCCTGTAATGCCCTGCCCACCCTTAACCCCGCCCTTGAAATCCAAGCCTTTTTCAGCAGCCGCGGGCTTCTCCTGCGACGGTGAACATGGCTGCAAACCACTCTCACAGAATTTATTGCTGAAAGAGCGCCATTCAACAGCAGCTCATGGTTTACACGGTTTAAGGTTTAGGTTTTTTCTACCAGGGGCCCTGAGCAGGGCCTACAAAGCCAGAAAAGGAACAAGCTCAAGGATAGGAACGTGACCCAAAACCTGGGCTCCAAGATCAGACTTGTTGCCTGGGCAGCTGCAATCTCCAACCCTAAGAAGGCTTAGGGTCACTAGGATCCCCAGTATATAATCCCAAAAGGCTGCACAGCTCCAGTATGATTAGTCTCGTCAGGAACCTGGGACCCCGAAAAGGGCCAAAGAGCTTACCTGGACCCCAAAGCACATGGAGCAATAGCCCCGAGAAAAAAGTCAAGGAGACTGTCATTCTACATACTCTTTGGAGTTCAGCTAATTCAGGTACTGGCTACTCCGTCCTACCCTACCTACCATCCTACGCGGCGCACTAGCAGCCGCGAACCCGGTACGACAACCTAGGTTTAGGGGCCGAACCCCTAAACCCTAAACCCCTGAACTGCTGCCGTTGTCCCATGTCAGGCCTCCGAGTGAAGCTGATCCTGCAACAAACGCCGTTCATGATAGACTGGGTTGCTGTTCAGGAACTTAAGTTAAGTTACCAGACTGGGCATATGTATCTATATAGTGACTGGTATGGTTTCCCCAGAATAGTAGTCCCCTTATACGACCCTAATATTCCTGGAGTCCCTTAGCCATCTCGAGTGAAGCGGTTTTGGGTTTAGGGTTTTCGGGGTTGAGTTCACTGAGTTGCTGTTGAGGAACCTTTTTTTCCGAAGGCAAAGCAAGTCCGACCCTGCACTCACCACCGGCGTCTACCCTCCTTCGGGCATCCCTTCTGAAATGTTGCAAGTCTCATCCATGGTCGGGACTTCTTACCGACCTGGCCTGAAGGCTGTTAAGGAACCAAAGTTACGTTACTACATTGGGGAAACCATCTTAGTTACTATATATGCCCATTTTGGTAACTTAATTTAAGTTCCTTAACAGCAACCCAGTTTAAGGCTCAGGAAAATGTCTGTGGGAAAATGTATGTTGGCTTTTGCGCTCATGGTGCAGGAGATGCCACCCAAAATTGTTGACTTTTGATTCTGCAAGCATGCCGTACACCACAAGCGGATTTGGCAACAAACTCTCTGAAAACAGACCCAATGAACAGGTGCCAGATGCCCAAGACCTTCGTAAGCATCATGGGGCTCAGAGATCTGCGTCCTGTTGTTAAAGCCTCCCTAGCCAGCCCTCTATGACCCGAGCAGCTCTGAGCACAGATCCTTCTCAACCCTCAACCCCTAGACTCCGCAAGAAAACAAGCATTTCGCCTTCCACAGACTATCGCCACAGCTTAAAACAGCAGACCGGGTACCGCACCCACTGCGCTTTCTGAAGCGAAGCCAAGAGGGTCGATGTGATACAGCAACTCTCCTGCAGCAGTCAACGTCCATGAGGCATTGGCAATTAATCAGTCTCAAGCCGTGAACTCAACCTCCTCACTCTTTAAACTTGAGCACAAAGCTTACTGGCTTTTAGCAGGGAATAAGGGAATACGATCCCTGAATACTTCCTATATACTGCACCCCCTTATTCCCTACTGTCCTTTAACCCCAGTAAGAAACCCTTTAATTGTGCATCCTAAGCCCAAACCTGACTCTACACTACACTCTCCCCGAAACTCACACGGAACCTGAAGTGGGGTCCTTTACAGACTACTATCCTTTAAAGAAGATGCTATATGGATAAATCCTCAAGCCTATATAAACACTACTGTCCTTTTGCAAAAAAGGGGCTATATGGGGTTCCCAATGCTAGCTCGCGGTACCCTGATCCTTAACCCAAAACCCTGAACTCTACATCCTAAACTTCCTAAACCTATAAGCCCAAAATCCTTAAATCTACATCCTAAACTTCCTAAATCTATAAAGCCAGAATCCTGAAAAGCGGAAGCCCTAAACCCTAAACCCTAAGCCCTAAACCCTAAACCGCAAGACTTCGCACCTCAAGAGCATGGCGGCCACCACTAAGCACCTCTGGTATCAGGGATTTGGGAAGGACTGAGTTTAGGGTTTGGGGAGATAAGGCTGCAAACGTATGTGCATAAGTATATATATATATACATACACATATCCACCCACATCAAGATTTATTGTATACATCTCTCTCTCTCTCTCTCTCTGTCTCTATGAGGTTTGAACAACAAACAAGAGCCTCTGTTGGGTAATGCCCTCATAGACTATACTCCATATGATATTACGGAAACCTCCGTTTGAGGGCACTCGGGCCTGGCGACAAATGCCAAAGTCTCATTGGGCGTAAGGGTTTGGGGCCATTCACTTCACCTACTTTTGAAATCCATCTTCTACGTTAGGGGAACTTTTGGTATAAGTGTACCAGTTATAACCCTGAACCTTCTAAACCCTACCCTAAACGCCGAGAAAACTCTGAAACCTCTACTCTGCTACCCCCTTCTCTGTGCCACAGCATGGTTGCATCCTACGTATGCCATGAGCTTTCCTACCGCCCTACCCCCAAAATCAGCCTAATCACGCCTAACAGGGGCTAAACCCAGGGGGTGTAGAGAACCTGTGAAGACGAAGCGTTCTGCGTATAGCATCCTACGCACACAGCGAGTGACCCAAACACCTAAGTCAGAAACTCAACTCAACACTTTCGACCCTACAGCTTCATGGAGAACCAAATGGACTATGACATAGAGGCCGGGCCTGTGTAGGGGTCATGCAAGGCAGAAACTAAAACTCAAAAGCTTACGTCCCAAACCTGCATACCTAAAGACAATTGCCTCGGTTACATCCCTCTTGCTTCAAGTCCGTCCTTCATGCTTTCACCCCCCCATACCCTAAACCCTCAACCCCCAGCCCTAAACCCCGCCCCCAACCCTAAACCCTAAAACTATAAAGCCCTAAATTATAAAATCCTCAAACCCACACCCTGAGGCCGCCCACGCCGCCGCCCACCGAGTAAGCTGAGGCCGCGTTGACGCCCACGGCGGCCCGGCCT